GGAGAACATAAGCATGTGATAAACCACTGATTGTCCTATTTTTCCCACTTACCAAAAAGAGAGGTTGTAATTTTCCTCATAGGTATATGGAGGGGGGGTTGAGTCAAACCCACGACCGTCACATCTCAAAATACAGATGATGTGTTGATAGCCTTGCAAAGGCTAACTTAGACAAGACAGGACTCCCTGGAAGAACAGATGTTGCATCTTAGTGGGAACACACTGGCTAAACAAATTATTTAATATTCATTATCAAAACAAGTTGCATGGGACAATGAAGAGGCCAAAGACAGAACAGCTTAAGCAGTTGTGGCGCTTAAAAATAGATTACACACTGATGTGATTCATCCTTTACAGTGATATAAGATCCTATTTTGACCATGCTAGAGCTACTCAAGAACTCCTTTGGGTTTTGTGATGCCCATATGGCCAGCTTTATTGGTAATTTGTTATCTCAAAACAAGGTTTGCTCAGTAGCTTTATGACATAAATGTTTGGTGAAAGAGGTTACAATGACAGTCCTGAAAAAAAAAATCCTCTCTCATTCTCTATTTCTATTGAACAATACTCTTCTGGACACATTATGCAGGAATGACCTGGTAGAAAACATTACGTATTGTTAAAAACTGTTTCTGAAACAATATTTCTCCTAGTGGGATTTTTAAACCAGCCTACCTGGAAAATTGGATTAAATTTAAGTAAAGTCATCAGTTTTTGATCATGACAAAATTGTTGACCATTGGTTTCCTTTTTTTTCCTCCAGATTCATAGATTTTTTTTGTTACATCGATTGTATAATATGTCATCTATGGCTTCACTCACCACCAGGTCCTGACCCGATGGCTCAGTAATTCTTACCGAGCTGAAAAGATGAAAGCTGTTTAATAAAACATAGCCACTAGAGGACTAACAGGTCTCACTCTCCCCCTTACAAGTCACACTCTCATTTATTCATGAATTCATGCAATCATCTCCCCTTTTCCCCAAACCACCCAGTTCCTAGGAAACTGTCAAGTATATGAAGACTACTATTCACGGGAGGGGCATTAAGCTGTAAAGACGGAGAGACGGGACAAATGCGCTGGCACAAAGGCTTGAGTATGATGTCATTGAGTTTAATTCTCAAGATTTTATGTCCTGAAGGACACACAGTTTAGCCGAGCATTACAGATTTATGTTTCTGAAACAGGAAAGTGTGTGAGAGAGTTGGTGGGCATATGTCAGCCTCACAATTGTCGAATGTCATCTCATGGCAGACACATTAATATTGTCTCAGAAAGAAACTGAGCTTTGTTCTATCAAATATATTTGTTTGTTTTTTGGGGGAGGGAAGAGATTTCCAAAATAATTCAAACCAGAACTCCTTCCTCTTGGATTTGTGAGTCATGTCTTGTACATGTACATCCAAATTTGTTCATATTTGTGCAGGTAAAGAAACCCAAGCCAGGAGTCAGGATTCTTGCTCTTGCTAATCAAAGCTAACACAGTTTTAATGTGATTGCTATCATACACTAATCAGCACTTGATAAATTGCCCTACACAGAAACCATCAGAGAAACAGATGGACAGAAAGAGACACAATATAACTGAGGCTAAGTGTCCTGCTGAATCTGTGTGTATGTTTATATATATATATATATATATATATATATATATATATATATATATATATATATATATATATATATATATATATATTATTATTATTTTTTTGTAAAGACCAAGTTGTTGGTAGGCAAAGAGACAAGCGGCAAAACAACAAGCTTAATAAAAACAGAAAAGACAAATGTTGCAGCTGTCGTCTCACAGATAAACCCTCTGCACATGCACTTGATTGCTGTCTAAAAACTGGCAAGGTCACAGCGTTATCACCCATGTTCTCTCACAAGGATACCTTTTTGCCATTTGCTTTAAGTAATCCCCTTTCATTTTTTCTCATTTTCATCATAAATTCCCTGTCTTTGTTTTAATGCTATTTAAAAAATTTTTTGCTGATATTTGCTTTATCTTCTCACTGTTGAACTTGGTCTCCTTTCAAAACAGATCTTACTGATGCTTTAAATTCTCCACCTATTTATGAAATAGAAACCTAAACCTAATTCAGTAATGCAATGTAGTTTTTTTTTTCTATTTATTTATTTTTTTTATATTATGCATTTACCTTCATTAAGTATAGAGATATTGATGACCACACCACCTATTGTTTTTGATCGTCCAAGTTTGGGACATCCGTTTTTGTGAAGTGGATGTCCCAAGAACTATTGGTTATTTACTGATTGACAATAAAAAGCAATTTTTTTGGTAAACTTTAGATGAACTTTACTCAGCTGAAGTCTGAGTCCTGACTAATTCAAAGCAAGACTTTTGCCAAGGAACTCTTGTGTCTTTATGTTAAGATGTAAACCTTGAGCCAAATATGAGTGGACTGGAAACTATGTTCACTTATATGGCATCCACCTCCATACTGTCCAGAACAAACAAAGGAAATCACTCACTCTCTTCGCTTAGACAGCCTGAGATAAAATAAAAAATGGTGTCAGATTTTCAACAGATCTCTCCCTCTTGCTATATAGGGTCATTTTTACATAAATTAAAATGCTTTAAGCCTTTACATTTAGTTTGGAAATTTGTTGTTCAGATTTTGCATCTCCAAATATAAAGTGTAATTTTGGTTTCTAGTAACACCTTGAGAAATGACTGGATTATTTTGAACCTGATCCGGAGCGTGATCCGGCCCAGCCTTAAAAAGCTACAGGAAGGGTCTAACAAGGGTCTAACACCTGTGAGAATGAACATCGATGTCAGGTGAAATGTAAGGAAGGTGGCAAGCAAAGCAAAAACAAAGGTTTCTGTGTGCCGATTTCCAATGTCTCTAGATCTTGGGATGTGGAATGTTATCTCACTGTTGGTTAAAAAAAAAAGGGGTGTGTGAAACCAGCTTGATTTAATTAGGCATATCTCCACACAGAATTTGGACTAATGATTCTAGCGCCTGGATAAAGTTATACTCCTCAATGGTTGCCCAGGGAGAGAGAAATCCAGTGGGTGTGTGCAAACTTACCAGTCCAAGTCTGAACAGTTTGGTGTTAAAGGTTTCTTTGGTGAGTTACAGTGTAGAGGTAAAGTTTTGATTGTTGTCTGTGCTTATGCACTGTAAAACAGATGAGATCTGGGAGTCTTCTGGTGCTGTCCTGAATCTGGGATTTTCATTGTGCTCATAGAGAACTTCAGTGCCTGGGTAGCCAAAACTGTAGCGACGTGGAAGGCTGTGTTTAGTAGTAACAGCCTTCCTATTTCTACCACAGGAGGTTTTTAGTTAGATTTCTCTTCAAGGCATGTCTCCAAACACAAAAAAGAAAAATAAAAGATTTCCAATAGGTGTATTTGGTAACAAGTCACCTTGGGGTCAAATGTTGATAAAGATTTTGCTTTTATGTAGTCAGACCTGGATCAGATAGGGATCACTACCTAACGGTAAATAGCATCAAGTCTATAGGCTCCACAATAGACTTGGTAAACTCTTGTAGAATCCAGATGGACCTTGTTCAGAACCTCCAATGCAGACACATGTTTTAGAAACAGTGGCTTGAAGATCTCTGGTGCCTATTGTGATGGCAAGTTGTTGGTGCACAGTAGTGGGGTCATTTAACAACAACAGCTTCAATAAGAACCTTTCAACGTCATTTACATTTTAGACAACCAGACTTGACCACCAGAAAGTGGTATTCTTTGTTTACATTTTCATTGCCTCAGCTTTACGCAATTTAATTAGAATATAATTTTCCTTATATCTCAGACAGCATTAACAAAAGATTAATAAATACAATTCTGCAGTATGCTTCAAATGCCAAATAGCACTGTGTGAGGCCATCCACTGTTTGAATGGTAACTGACACTAAATGACATGTCACATTGACCCTGTGACATCTGGAGTCTGACACCAAACCAGCCTTTAGTCGCAACAGCTCTTATAGTGTGCCATGGTAAACAGAGAGGTGTAAGCTTTTTGTTCTGTTCTGGTTGACATTTTCTCATAGCCATCACTCATCGCCTCCAGCTCTCTTTTACTTTTGTCATACTTTTCTTTTCTTTTTTTTAACTTTTTGCCCTTTTTTCTATGTGTACCGATTCCACGGTTTTTGATTCATGGCCGTGTGTGCCTGCCCTCTGCTGCTTTCATCCTGGTCAAAAATAATTGGTTCAATCATCAAGTGCTAACTATTACATTTATGATACGGATGATGTTTGTTTGCAGTTTTCCTGCATATGACGGTGCCTCAGTTGACCAAAGAAACTGTTTGGCTATCACTTGCCTTCAAAGACCATCTGGCACACCATCTGACAAGTAGATGAGAAAATGTGCACACTTGTGTCTATAATGTTTGCGATTAGATTATATAACATAATTCAGATGGCTGGATATCTCTTCTTGTGCAGTTATATTCACATGATGGGTGCTGCTGCTTTGCTTTCCAGGGGGTTGCTGTGGGTTTTAGTGCTCGTAATGCTTTAAGCAGACAACTCTCATTTTAAACTTACAGTAAGATTTCACAGTAAAAGTCAAATTGACAAACTAAAATGCAGTCAAGCTAAGTCCCAAGAACTAATCTACTTTAAAATATGTAATGGATAACATACAATCTAAACTGGTGCTTTTCTTCATTAACATCTGACATCAGAATAAAAATGTATTCATTGTAGCTCCTTTAAAGTTAGGTTTTTGATCCAGTCAGTCAATATCATTAAATAGATCAGAATAGAGCAGTTTCTAGATAAAGCATTTACTGTTGTGGTGCAAGTTTACATCCAAATAAAGAGTTTTTATTCTTCGAAATGTCTTGTTTCTCTGAAATACCCTAAATCTTTAAAAACAAAGCAAGAAATTGATATTTTGAAATCAATAGTTCTCAAAATCTTGCAGAGATTTAATATTCATTTTTATGCAGAATAGTGAACACACCTTCTGATGCCTATTTTATTTTCAACGACATCACATGCAGGTGTGCTGTGGAACCTGTCATCATGTGACGCCCTGAAGATGCCGATTATCCAAGATGCACTGGCAGTTCTGACCAACAGCGTCATCATACCGCACTCCAACTGGGACTCTTCTCCTGGTCACCTTGATGATCGCAAAATCCACCTTCATACTTCCCAGGTGCTGCGTAATGCTACAGGCTGTCTCAGGTAATACAATTCACATCGCTGCCGCTGGCAAAGCATCTTAAGGCACCCATTATAGTTTATAATTTGTTTATGTGCAATGAAAACATGTGTATTTTAATGCTTTAAAGACATAATCATGGAAGAGTAAATTTATTGACAAGAAAAGGTACACAGTCTTAATAAATGTATATGAGTTAATGTAGTGGAAAGTCTATAAAACTGCAAGATACAGATGTCTGTGAACCACAGAAAATTAGTTTTGTACCTAAATGAGTTTTATAAGCCACAGTTGGTAAACATCTAAACTGAACTCATTAAGTCAAATTACCTTAGATATTTTTAATAGAATAAGATGCTTTTCATTGCAAATATTACATAGTGATCATGCTGTTGTGTGTGTTATTTTTAATTATGGCACCACTGAGAGATTAGCTCCCTAATTCACAGCTGAAGAATAACTTTGTCCTGGTGTCAGACTCTAAAATTGCCTATTAAGGCAGATTTAGTTAAATGAACTCTTTATACATACCTAAAACAAAGAAAGTGTTGGGTTCAAATCTCTGCCCTGCCTGTTTTTATTGCGTGTGTGTGCGTGTTTAGTGTTTGAATGTTCTCCTGTTCATATCCATATCCAGTTTTCTCTGGATACTGTATTCCCTTTAGGTGTGTGTGTGTGTGTGTGTGTGGGGTGTGTGTGTGTGTGTGGGGGTGTGTGTGGATGGTTGTATAAAATTGACTGGCATCCTGTTTGATGTGCATCTCACCTTTCCTCAATGACCAAAAAAATAAAAATAAAAAAATATCGGATAACATTGGATTTTTTCCTTCTTTTACCATTGAGTGTTCCACCTAAAGTTTATGGGAGCTTTGTGCCCGTGTGTTGGTACGTAAAGGTGCGGGGGAAGATAGATGATGCTGTCACTGCATTGTTCACCATTCTGAAGCTACAGATGAAATGTTAAAGGAGAGGATGAACTGGAAGCAGAGGAGAAGGTAAAAACTGAAGGAAGAATTTAGCTGCGGTAAACCCTGAGGGGGGGTAATGGAGGTGTGTATGCTGCTCACCAGCGTTGTATCCCATCTCACTGTCTGTTCGAAGGGTTAATGTGACATTAGACAACAGTGTTCAGGTCTTTGTGTTTCCAGCTCAATTCCAGACCTCTCACCTATCTCATTATCGCTTTGTTGTGAGAGCTGGTGCTGTTGTGTATTGCATGGGTGTGCCTCTATATGTTTCTGTATAACTCTGTCTATTTTTCTGAGTTTGTGTTTGAGCTTGTACATACTGCAAGCCTAAGCGGGACACACGCACACACGTCAAAACAGACATGCAAAATTCAAGTGTTAGAAACACTAACTACAGAAAGCACACCTGGAAGGAAGTCACAGTGAGTCAACTGTTTCTATTATTGGTTTGCGCCTGTGTGCTCACTTTGTACACACCTTCAGAAGTGTGTTCATGCTGTTGCAGTCATACTGCTCATTAAACCGAGTCACTCCTCAGGGGGGGTGACTTATTCACGATGACTTCTATATGCAAATGTAGTCAACTAAAAAGTCATAGAGCTCTTTTGTTCACCATTTCTCTCGCAACCCTTTTCCTTGTGTTAAACTAAAAAGATTTACCGACCACTTACACTACGAGCACCGGAATTGTAATCTCCTTCGTCCTCAGCCAGATACTGATTGTAGGTTTTTGAACACGGTATAAAAGAAAGCATTATTCTGTGTGGTTTCCATATCTTTCAGTGAAAAGCCCTTTAAGTCCCCACAGATTGCTTTTTTTTTCTTTTTTTTTTTTTTTTTTGCCATGCAAAAGATGATTCCCGGTCTGCTCTTTATGAATTACACACACTCAGTTTCTTTATCTTTTGTTTATTTATTTTTTTCTGTACATACTACACACCCAGCAAAGGTCGATTCTTTTCAAATATACACATTTTAGCCAGTTGTGTTTTTTCTTATTGAAGAACGATCAGGACCCATGGTCACAAACAGCTGTGTTTCCGTATTGCTTTTCTTCATTTTCATATATTTCATGCATTTGCATCGTCCAGTAATAGCCTTCTGTTGCCATTGTGCTCTCATTCACAGAGACATACACACAGTCAGACACTTGTGCAGCACCATCACACACCAGTTGTTTGAGACAGCCGTCATTCATTTCCAGACTGACATCGTCAGCTTGCCATCTGTCTCAAATTCACTCGTAATCTCATTGTCTTTTGTTTCATTTTGCTAAATTGCTGCGAGTAAATTTGATTGATTTTGTTTTACATTATTTATCATGCATCTATGAAATGGAAATATGTGTTTGATTTAAAATGTATAATAGAAAAATATATGTAAATGACGGCAATCCAGCTTTTGCAAAAACAGAGTTCTTTTTTTCCTCAGTTTTATATTCTGAAAAAAAATACTAATTTTCCACACTCGAAGCTCATTTGTCAGAAGTTCTAGGAGGGTGGTTAACTGTGATCATAGTCTGTTTGAGTAATTCTAAGCCGCACCAATGAGAAGTGGGGTTGTGCTGTTTGTATTTTAGAGATAGCTGGTAATCCCACATGTCTTGTGTCACTGTGATGTGGGAAGTTTGGGACACAGACTCTGTCTTGTTTTTGCTGTCAGCCTCACTTCTCACAGAAGGACTTAACCAGAAATGCATGTCTGTTAGCATGCTATACTCTGTCAAGTAATGGGGAAAAAGACAAATCGTTTTTTGTGAACGATTGACTTGCTATGCTCTGACTCATTGTTCATATTGTAGGTGTCTCTCGTCCAGACCAGCTTATCTAAACTAACTATGCTAAGCCCTACAAGCACTGAAAATAACAACTCTATAGGAAGGCTAAAGGAAGGCACAAATAGTTACTCATCAAATATTTTATGACAGTCATACGTGCACTAGGATTTTTTTTAAATCTCATCTCCCATAGCAAAATTCATCAGAGTAAAACAAAGTCACCCTTATCTTGAAACTTGAGAAATTCATTTTTTTTATTCATTTCCAGTTTTGAAGAGGTTAGCTGTTTAGACCACCAGAGTAGCATACTAATCCCTCCTGTTTAATAAATTTCTTATTACTTTATTCTGCTGATAATAATCACTGCTAATATGTAACGCAGCAAAAACGCATTCAGTCGAAGTAAGCTGGATCTAATCAACTGCTATGCAGTTGTGTTCAGTCTGACACCTTTGTTTATAAAAGAAGTGTTTTCAAATTGAAAAGTATGTGATGTAAAATTTGTAACTTTATTTGAATGCCTAGCATAAATGTTGCCCTAATTTCTAAAATTAGTTTTGGAAATGATTTTTTTATTCAAAATCTATAAAAGCTATCATATTATGTATCATATTTAATGTTTTAACATATTTGTTTCGGTTCAGTCTTGTCAATATGGTTCAGTCATATATATCTTCTGTTTTATAATAAATGCTGGTTCTCTTGGGACTGTGATTACTGGTATTCTAAGCTGTTTTATTATGATTCAACTGGACATTTTAGTTTCCAGTCTAATTGGTTACAAAATGCATTATACAATCTTTTACAGAAAAATTGTATAAAGAAAAAAAAGATGCACTCTATTGTGATCATCACAGGCCAAGAGACTGAACTCAACCATTCAAATATATTTATATTCATATTGTAAAACAACAACAAAAAATTATCAGTCTGCCTAAAAATTGGTTTACCCTTTTCATGGCATTATTAGTAGAGGGGTTAGCTTTGTTAGTGAAATCATGTGATGCAAACTGTTTTTTAAAGGCTTTTGCTTTATGCACTGTGTGTTTGTTGTTTTTGTCTTAGACGTTTGTTGAACATGGAAAATGTGCTTATTCCACGATGAAAAAAAATATATATATATTCCTATCAATATAAATTTTAGGTAATGTTTGAACTACAATCATCATATTACTTCAAACTGTGCAACTTTGTGGAACCAGTAGCATTTTATGAAAATAATTACATTTCGGAAAAAAAAAAAAGCCAGACAGTTTCTGTCTGGCTTTAAAAAATATCCCAGCACTGAAACCAGCATCTTAATATGGGAAATTTCCCCTCACTTTGGCCCTCACGTCCCCTCACGGTCGCAGTGAAGGACACCATCCTGTAGAAAACGTCTTTTTGTTTTTCACACAGCTTTGTGGGTGTTGCCCTAACTTTAGTAAACAACACATTTTGTTGCTCCATAGCTTAAAGTGTCTGACTTTTAAAATGTAAATTTATTAGCCATGCACGATCTTCTTGTGCTTCTCTACTTTAAAAGAGGAATTTGACAAAATACAAATCATAAAAATGAGAACAAATGTGTAATGCATATATGTTTTGGATGACTTTGCAAGCCTTTGTTTTTCCTGTTTCATTTAGCTTTAATGTTGTCTGCTACGGTATCAGTCCAACCGTTTCACCTTAACATCCCTGATTTATTTGGACCCCAAACAAAGGACTGCAGGGTTTTCTGTGCTCCTGGCTTTTTGTTGGCTATTTAGTTATCTGTATTTGGATTTGTCATATATGGATGAATGATGTGGTCTCAGATTGCCATCATGTGAGTTTTGATTCATGATCAACAAGCCTTCCTCTGGTGTTGGCTGGCTCTAGGCACTGCCAGGTACTGTGGTGGCCAGGCACATCTCTCTTCAGTAAGTGTCATGTCCTGTGGCGAAATGTCTTTCAAGATTGAAGGTTTTTGGCAAAAAAATGTGTTGTAACGAGACAATTAAGCAACATTTTGTGAAACAAGTACAATTTTGCCAATTGATATGCTGGTCATAAATCTGAAAATACGTGCTGCTTTGTTCAGGACACAAAAGCATTCAAAACTTATCTCAAGTATTTCTCATAATTAAATCAGTTCTGTTTGAAATATCCCTATTTATTTTAACTTCTTGGCACCAAGCCCTTCCTCTTTGGTCTTTTGGACGATTTTCTGAGTTGACTATGTATGTCTCATCACCATTTCTGTGCATCTATTGTAATTCAACAAATATGTAACCTACCATGTAGATCTTTGTTGAAGCCAGCATGACAAAACTGCACATTCAAACAGTACTTCCATTTTCTTCCTCTTCTACCCACCTCCTGTCTTTGCTGCTTAAACATTTATTAGGGTGAAGTGTTTGCGCTGTTCTGTTGTTTAATATCGACTCGACAGACACTTGTTACTCCTAAGCACCATTCCATGGTATACTTTGTTGTCCATTAGCATTCAAAGCGAGGGGAAGTAATTTGACCTTCTCTTGGAAGTGGGAAGCCACGAACTTGACGTTTTAATTGAGTTCTTTCTCTCTTCTGTGTGTTTTTTAATCGGCACACTTTCTGAATAACCTACATTCATAGACTGACAGAAACAGCTGTGATCTTTATTGTGCCAGCTTGACAGATTTGCCAGATTTGCCAGATTTGTTCACACTACATTGTTTCATCTGTTCTGTTAAATTTTATCTTAAGAGAATAATATTTGAACTCCTCTGACTAAATATTGCTTGCATGTTACTTTAGCAGTGGTCTGCAGCGTAAATTGAAATTAATTACTGTTTTCTTTGATTTGAAGCTAAGCGCTAAGATCTCTAAGGAGTCTTTTATCTACATCCAGGTCTTCAACCTAAGAAATAGCTGAATAGTTAGTGCAAATCCACATTCAGCTACTCTGTTTTACCCTGATTTACTGTATAATTAACCAACATGTACATCTGAAGATGTGATTTGTGACCCTTAAAGTAGAAATGCGATTACCTGGCACCTTATCATTTATCTTAATTTCACAAGACTGAATTGCACTCTTTGATTTTGCTGTGCGGCAGCGTTGACAAGAATTGATTCTAATTCTAATCTTGCAGAGGAGGTATATTGAGTGGTTGTGGCATTTAGGTTCTCAGATTGCTTGGAGTCATTTATCTCTAAAGCATTCTTTCAAGACAGTCACATTTTGATCTCCTCAACGGGTGCCAAAGGCATGATTTGCAAACTGACATTATTAGACTGGTCGAGGGCATGTTTTGCTCAAGATGTGTGAAAGGAACTTATCTATTTGTTTTCTCTCTTTTTTTGTCCTGTGCAATGGGTGTTTTCACATTAAATAAAATCAAATATATATTCCTCTTTGTTATTGTCAGAGCAATATTTGCGATGTGAGAATTTTGACTCTAGATTTTATGCCTTATATCCTGAAAGTGCATCAGTCATATGTAATACTTTTTTAGTCATATATAACATGGTTTAAGGAAGCGCTGGGTTTTTGTATGACAACAAAGAATATTCATTGTAAAAAATATTCATTGTAATGAATGTTAGTTTCATGTGTCTAGAGCTGAAAAATTTTATCCATTATTTCTAGAGATTTTTGTTACAGTTTCTTTATTTTGTTTTTTTGTTTTCGGTTTTTGTTTTTTGAATGTATTGACCTCCTAATTGTAGGACCAATCAGAATTATCTTCAAGAATTATAACAAATTACATAAATTACATTTAAAATATTTCAGGTAAGAATTTGTTGTATAACCAATGGGTTGACGGTTCGAACCCCACTTCTTTTGCCTACTAGTGGTGGCTTCTCTTAGTCTTCCCAGAGCAGTTGTGCCACGTTTTGTCTGAAATGTGTGTATAAATGGGTGAACTGATTGTAGTGTAACGTACTTTGGAGTCCTCTGACTTGATAAAGTGCTGAATGAAAGCAGGCTATTTAGTAGGGAATGTGAACATTAGAGTTAAAGCAATGAAAACAATTAATGGTTAAGGAGTTTATGTTGTAACTCTTTAACTTCTAACTGCTGGAAAATAGCATGGTTAGAATTTGCAACCTCAAACAGCGGCAATTGTATGCATTCCCTAGAAAATACAGATCCTTAACCTAAATCCTGAAGGATTTTCAAGTTTATATATTGTATATTCTGCCTTCTTGCTATCTGCCTAAGCCTGGATCTTTGCTTGCCTGCAGATACATTTCCTTAGAAAATACAGTTTCATTTCAAATAACATCTGGCAATTTTGTGCTTCATCTGACTTCAATTTTAGACACCTTAAAATAGCTACATTTAAATTATCCTGCCTTATAAATAATTCTTTATACCAATGAATGTCAGTGCAGCATGATGTGTTCACTGACCATCAACCAGTAAAACAAATTGTGCAGTTACCAGTCTGTTTCTCTGTGTATCTCTTTTTTTATTTATTTATTTTTTGCAGATCATAAAAGCAAGGCTTCCACCAATAAACTATCAAGTTTCTATAACATTATGTGGTGTGTCTTTTTGAATTAAGTGACTTTTTACGGGGTTTTTTGCGTTTTTTTTCTCTCTTTACATGTTTTAAACTTAGGTACAGGCCTCTATGGATAGTCTGAGATCTTTGTTTTTCTTGCATTTAACAAGTTTTAATAACAGAATAGAAATATACTTTTTTGTCCCACAGTGAGGGGACAATCACGTGAAACAGCAGCTAGTGACATGTAGGCTCAGACGATGGTAAATGTACTTTTTTTAAAATTAAGAATAATGAGGGAAAAATTATAACATAAAATACTCTGCAGTTATCAAAAATATGAATATGAAAATAAAAACCTTGATGTGCAAATTCCAGTAAAAATATAATTAAAAATCAATTTAACTTTCTAAATACCAGAATGGATGTAAATTCTTGAGTTTACTGGGACCAGAGATGGTTGCAGAGTCTAACAGCTGCTGGGAGGAAGGATCTGTGATCATATTTCAAATCTTATAAGTCTTATTGTTTCTTTTTTTTTTTTTTTTTTTTTTTTTTACATGGCTTGTTTTTGGTGTGTTTCAGAAATGTAAGCTCAGCAGGTGAGGAAGCACGACGGAGAATGAGAGAGTGTGACGGCCTTACAGATGCTCTGCTCTACGTTATCCAGATCTCCTTGGGGAGCAGTGAGATCGACAGCAAGGTATTTATTGGTTTTCTTCTGAAAACTTTTGCCTTTTTTATGCACAAACTCTGTATTTCATTCTGAAATATTAATTATTAAGTCAGGGAAGGAAAGAGTTTTTACACTACTTTGTCATACCAGAAACACTTGCAAAATATTCAGTGTGAAACGCTGTAACGAAAGTACAATCTCCCCTCATTGCCAATTACCATTAGGATGACATTTGTTTGTTTGTATTAAAGAAGTTTATAGTTCACCAAGCCAAGTTAGAGCTTTTATATCTAAAATATTAGAGCACTGCTAGGTCCTATTGACCTAGCAGTCAAAGTTGAGTGAATTTATGTTCGTTCTGCATCTTTCTGTCTCAGAACACATTCATTTTGGCGTGCAGTATGTATTAGTGTGTGGAAGCCAGTCAATATTACATAAATAGTGCTTTGGATGGCTGACTTTTCAAGGTCTCCCTGTCTTCCAGCCTTTTCTAAATGGCCATCCTTAATCACTGTTTAACCATCCTCCCCTCACCACTGTTTGACTGCAGTCGCCAGAGGACTGTCGTTCCCTCAGTAACAAAGACTGATTGGCAGATCAGCCATCTAATGGTTTCTGCTACAACAAACATGACCAAACTCTGCTTGCCCTCCAGTTCCATTTTCTTGTTTTTTAGCCTTATTCTGGATCATACATCGTGCTACTCGAGCTGTTGTAGAGTTTTGTATGTTCTGTAAATTACTTACGAAGAAAAAAACATCACAATGACTAAAAATCTCAATTTCCTCAATTGCAGGAAATTCAAATAAATTCAAGCTGTAGTCATTTCAAATGAACCACTTTTTTTTTTTTGCACGAAATGCTATGTTCTTTAGAGCCTTTAGTTGAGTTTAGTTTTGAATGGGAGCTAAATCAATAAATCAGAACAAACATTCAGGGCTCTGAACTGGCACACTACGCAAATACCTTCAGACATTTTAATAAAATTGCACATCAGGATTGATAAACGGTATTGAATTGACAACTATAAACTGCCTGGAAAGAAATTAGATAGATTTTTTTCTTTAAACATGTGACATAAAAATAAAAGCTGTTTCACACTTGTATACAATATCCTAACAATGTATCAATTGTTTCCTTCAGTACTTTTTCCAAGTACTTACTCTGAATTTTGATGATCAAGATATAATTAACTTCCTTCTATGTCAAGTGTAACGTATTTTCTCGTCTTTGTATATAATCACAAGAGTAAATAAACTGAAGGATGTAGATGCTGAGTATTGATGTAGATGCTGTCTGTCCATCGTATTATTGCTTTCGTTATTGTTTGTGTACACATGTATTATGTGTTTGATTTTGTGACTTCTGGGAGTCCAAGGACAAAAAGGGTGTGGGAGTGTAGATTCATAAACAAGGACATGGATTAAAAAAGACCAACATGTAAACAAATAGCAAGCTTATTTTCCTGGGAATACGATAAATGTTACACATGGTAAGGATGCTGATCTATACGTGACCCCGGTTTCAAAGCTTCCTGACTGAACACTTCGAGTAACATATAACCATCTGCAAGTGTCTTTGCACTCTATAAACCTTGTATGCTATAATAAAGGAGTTCAGAATAAATGTGGAACAACAGATCGAAATATGAAATGTCACAGTAAATTGTAAATTAAACGTAACTTCTCCAACATCATTCTGTAATTGACTGTGAATAGAATTTCAGACATGACTGCAGCTCACTGGAGTGAGACATTGTTTTTCTTTGTTGCATCTCTTGAGGCTGTTCAATTACACTCCTTAGTCATCTTTGTAAACCAAGGGTCAGACTGAGAGAAGATTGATTATTCGTCTTTGATAATTTCCACTCCGCTGATTTGATGACTCCCCTTTCTCACCGATACACAAATGTGTGTGGCTACACAAAGTCTCGGAAGCACACTTTTAAGAATAGACAACAAATGTTGTAAGACATGGTTTGTCCGTGTACAGAGACACACTTCCTCACAGGCTCGGTGACTTTAGGGTTTGCCTCTGCACTGAGTGTTAAATGAGCTGTGTGATAATATATTGGGTTTGTCATTTTTCCTCATTTACTTGAGTTTTTCTAATCTTATTTCAAAGTCAGCGCTAACAAAATGCAGAAACATATTACCTGAGAGATTATGGACATTGTTTGGTTTCCCATCTGTCTTCCTCATGGGTGTTGCCTGACGGTTTATATTATATATGAGTGGATTTATTTTTTTTCTTTCTTCCTTTCAAGTGATGCTCATTTTTGAACTTCCTTTCTGTTTTCAAACGGATCTTTCATTTCAACTTTTGGACTTTAACCATTTATCTTTTCTTCGTCTCATCTTCCTTCTCCCCACACCATTTCTCTTCCTCCTGCGTTTGCTTTATCTCTAGACTGTAGAGAACTGTGTTTGTATTCTGAGGAATCTGTCATACAGACTAGCTGCTGAGACATCCCACGGCCAGCAAGGTGGTCTGGAAGAGCTGGATGGGCTGCTTTGTGATGCAAATGGATGTGAAGGGGAGAGCTCTGGTTGCTGGGGGAAGAAGAAGAAGAAAAAGAAGGGAGTTGAGCAGGTAAGGGCAGGAATAACAAAGTTATGTGGGTTAAAAAGGAACATAACTCGTTTTTGTTGTCATGTCAATGTAAAGATACACATCTTTGGGTTACTCACTGAAGTTCATTGTGGCTCTGTTTTATGCAAGCAGATGGAAGTGGCAATTGGCTTTAAAGCATTTTTTATATTTTGCTCCTTTTCTTTCACAATATAATCTTTGGGTTTATAAAAAAAATAAAAAATCTTCTCCCCAAAACTGTTGCTGTCACATTTGTTTGTGATTTATTTATTTTTTGTTTATTATTTAAGCATATTTATATGCTACAGGTTTAGTTTAAATCCATCTAGACTGTTTCAGTTCTACTTTGTTTTTGTTTTTTGTTGTTGTTGATATTCGAATAACACAGTATTCTTAAAATACAATCCTATGTTTTCCTGCACAACACAGCGTACATGGGCTACCACCACATTGATTTTGTAATTTAGCCACAATTAGACTGCAAGAACGTTCCCAGGGACAGAAGAATTTTGTGGGGCCTTTTACCTCACTCCCTGTGTTTCATAATTGGGAGCGAAATAAAACACTTTGATCCGTCTGAAGAAGATTTTTTTGGGGGAAAAAAGACTTGATACTCTGCTTCCCTGTAGACAAAGATTTTTAAATGAGTTTGCTTTTAAGATTCTATACTTAGATTATTCCAGAAGTAGATTATTTTCCTCCCAGCTTTTTAACTCTTGTAATGATAGTTTTAGTAGAAGACAAAGTTCCTGACATATGATTGAATTCACAGCATATAATGTTGATATATATATAAATAAATAAATGTTTGTCTTTAAAGTCAAAGGCATTAATTTGTAATTGTTTTTTTATGTTAGTGGTTACCTCTAGTTTTGCATTTATGAAGATTTCACATGTGTGACCCGAAATATACACTAATATATAATATAACTAATATAACTAATTGTACCACCCATTTCCTATACTGTTCATTTTATTATGAAGAGAATTGTTTATTAAATATGCTAAAATAAAGTATTAAGAATAAATGTCAACTTTGCTTCAGGTATTTATGATTGAAAATGATCAGCATAGTTGATCTTTCTTGATGCTTTTAAGTTAAATGAAATAAGAAAACAAGTCCTGCCAAAAGGGCTAACAGTAAATTTGTTTGTGTTTAGGTTTCACATTTCAATTACATTTTTTGAAGCACCGACAGTTAGCTCTAGGAAGGTACATGAGGCATCAGTGTAAACTTTTCTTCAAAGTAGACAGTAAGGGTGAGGAGTTGATGACAGACATTCAGATTAGACTCTCAGGGTAGATATGTGAGGGATAGATGCTAAGAGACTGGATTGAGAGAGAAAAAGCAGGGGAGACAAAAAGACATGCCATAAGAAGTCGACTAAATTTTCTTTAAACGTCAACTGGCACTTCACACAGACATGATGGAAAGCAATGTGGAAACATACCCCTGTTGCACTATTGGAAGACAAAGAGAAGTTGATTTTGGAACCAACAATAGTATTACAGTACTGCTCTTCAACTATAGAAAAAAAACTGTTGCTCTTGGTCATCTTGACCAGTACTGTCAACTCAACCAATTAACAAGACTAATTGGAGGCTCGGAACATATTCAGCGGGGATCAATAAATGTCTTTCAAGAATCTGAGCTGATTGATTGTAACAATATTTGATTTGGAATGAAAAAATAATTTCATTTAAATAATATCAACAGGTGGTCCGTAACCAGTTCTTGCATGAACTTGTGTCTCCTTCTGCACCCAAATACAACTTCTGGACTTCACTGAAATTCTGAAACAAATATTACACCACAAGATTTCAACAATAGCATTACAAGAACTTCTTGAATCACAGTCAACACTTATTTGTTCATTATTAAACCAGACAGAGGGAATAATCCCACTTTTTCATGAGTGTGTTGCCTCTGTTAGAAACCTTCACTGATTGAAAACAAAAATATGCAATATGCAACTGTGAGCTAGGGCATGCTTCTACCCATTAGTGCAACATATTATCCTTTCTGTTTTGAATCCATGATGCAAATATCCAAACATACACTTCTAGTTTGCAAAGACGTATTCTGTTCAAATTTCCCAGTGGCTCTTCCCTTAACCCCTTAACTGCCACTTTTGCAGCAAGAATGTTCTGGGTTTGAATTCCAGTTTTGGGTCTGTCTGCATAGAGTGTGCATGTAAGGAAACCCAAAACATGACTGTTTCATCTGATTGGTCTCTCTAAATTGCTGTGAGTGCATGTTTGTTGTTTTTTTCTGTGTATTCACGTGTTGCCTTGCGATGGACTGGCAATCTGTCCAGAAAACTGCTGGAGATTGGCCGCATCCCCACTGTGACCCTGCAAGGTTGAATGGGTATAGACAATGGACGGATGAACTTCCCTTAACATAGCACTGACGCTCTGTCTAGATAAAGGCATTGAGGACTTCACCGATTTACTTCTGCTCCACTCCACCTGGGTTTAGTTTGATTGACAGCTCAGCCATACCTTGTGAAAACCTATCAGATGTCTGGCAGGGGAAATTGCTGTGCAGCTTAATCATGTGACCTGCTCTGTCTGTCAGCAGGAAACAGGGTGCACCTACTCAACACAGCAGGGCACCAACCCCTGATAGTCTGCACATGCACAAAGTGCAAAACAAAAATCAGTCAGGGCACAACTAAGTGGTACAAAGGCACTTTGGTTTGTGGAGATTTTTATTTTTTTTATTACCTCTCATTCCCCACCACAGTTTGATGATTCCAAGGGCAACTGCCCAAAATGTCTCCATCAAAAACATTCTTGGACACAGAGCAATGTGAATTACTTAACATTTCCTGCACACATTAGACTTTCACACGCCTTTGATTTTTCATGATCAGAGAATCTATGTATAGATCAAAAAAATGCATTCCCTGTCTTACGCACTTGATAGGAACTCTCTGAAGTCACACGCTTGCCCAGTTTACCTGGAGACAAAGAGGAGAAGGGGAATCAGTGGAGCAAAGCCAAAAATGTTGACAAAGAAAGATGAAAAATGAAGCAGTGGGAGGGGTAAGAGTTAGAATAAAGACAGGGACGCAAGGACATAGCGATCCAAGTAGAGAATTGAGAAAGAAAGACGGAGAAAAAAAGACAACATAATAAAGAAATAAGAATAAAGAGGAGACAGTGAAGTTTCTCCTTATCTGAGAGAGGTGTGGAAAGAAAAACAAGAACAAAAAGAAATAGAATTACAATGGGCAATGTTTTCAAGAGACAATCTAGCTGTTCGGAGTATCACAATAAATGCTTCGGTAATGTTTTTTTCTGGCATCTGTTCAATTCCAGTAAAACTATATATTTACAGACTTAAAAAAAGAAAAGTCTTTCTGGAACTGAAAAGAATCCCAAGATGTAGACATAGTAAAACTGGCCTGTTTGTATAAATGAGTACCTCCATTTCCAGCAGTGCAATTCAGACAATAAGAAACAGTTCTGAGTGTTAGTTATTAAATATATTTGCTATCATCTTTTGTTTTCCTATATCCTAATACATCGTGTTGCAGCACTATGTGCAACTGTCTCTGCACCAGAGACTGTTCTGAATGACTTTTAGGTGACTCTAAGGGGCAATGTTTTTCAAGTTGCTAAAGATGACTGATGACACTTTTCTGTTTTTTGTTGTTGTTGTTGTTGTTTTTATTTTCTTACGTCAAAAATCTCTTCAGTTTTCCAGCAACAAAGCAGTGCAATTTATTCCTTCCAAACACAGAACTATTGCTATTTCTCAATACAGTAACGGGGAGCTGTTATTTGTTCAAAACCACTGCATCACCATGGCTACAATTTTGTATTACTAAGGAAGGTTATGTTTAATGACAACCTTCTTCCATAATACAACACTGTTGTTATTGAAAAATGTTATTAAATGTGATGTTATTAAAAAATAATTTCATATCAGCTCAGAACACATTAATAATGGTAAACATAGGTATAGCAGACAGAAGCAGCTAAAAACATCAATGTGCAACATGCATCTTGAAAATGAAATGTTTCCATATGAAACATGAAAAACAAACAGCAGCCATTACTGTTGCTTTTTTTGTTGCAATTAAAATTTTACTATACACACAAATATCATTTACATGAAAGCTGGGGCTGCTTTGAAAATGTCTGATGATGACTGATGCACCAGTCAGAGATTTTTCCAGCTGTTCTTTGATCACCGATTTCTATGAAGTTCTGACCAGCAAATACTGATTGCTGATCCTCATTTCTCTGTAATCACCAAAGGCAACAAGAGGACACTTTATTTATGTCTTAGCAATAACATGGTTACTATAAAATAAAACTCTATTTCAAAAACAGCCCAAAATTACAGAACTTGCTGTCAGTGTCACTCAAATGTGCAAACACAGTAAAATCTTTTAAGTTATGGGAGCAGTCAGTCTTGCAACAAAACTAATGCTGCTGCTTTATGCATCAAGAAACATGCTTAGCTTCTGTTTTGTTTTGTTTTTTCTGCTAATTTATAACATCAGCCTTAGGATGCTTTCACACAGCAACAAGCTGACCAGCATGACCAGCGAGCACCGTTTCTTGCTAAATAAGAACTTAAATTACAACTTTGCATCATTTGCTCTAATCTTTCGCAGTGGGATGGTGTGAGTCCCTTTCCCGACACAGCCGAGCCTCCTAAAGGGGTTCAGATGTTGTGGCACCCCACCATTGTCAAGCCATACCTCACTCTGCTTTCTGAATGCTCAAATCCCGACACGCTCGAAGGCGCCGCTGGAGCCCTACAGAACCTTGCTGCAGGCAGCTGGAAGGTATGCACAGACCCAAAATATGAGTTCAGATATATTTTTTTGTAATCAAAATCAATATCTACTTCCTATTTGATTGATTAAAATAATTTCCATTAGCTTAATCTCCTCTTCAACCCATTGTTTTTAAAATGCCACTTGTGTAGAAGGGGTTGTCTGTGAGCGGTGTGATGAAAATTAAAATGAAAATGGTCATGCTGGGCAAGATAAATGATGGATTTTTTGGGATTTCAAAAGTTCTATTGTTTCATAAGGAGTCAAGTAAACAAGCGCACTTGGACGGGGTGGGGTTTTGTTCTCGAATGAAACAGTGTTTCCTTTTACTCCCACAGAGCAAAAAGAACTTCCACTGATGACGAAGTCTGTCAAAACAATATTGCATTCGCTGACAGTAGCACCCGGCTGTTTTATTAGATCTTAATCTTGGGGATTTTGCATTATGAACCTTGTAATATTATTCCAAGGCAATGCACGCGTTTGTTATTGTTACTTGCTATTTAAAATCTCCAAAATCTACTGCGTCAGGGACTGGAGAAAGACTCCACAAGGAGTGAACTGAGGGAGGAGACTACACGACTATAATGGATGACTCAAGTGGCCATGGTACTGTCAGGGGTAACTTGAGCCTCCAGGAAGAGAGATGAGGGTTAAAGACAGAGTATAAGTGGACCACTGTAGGGGGGCCTTGGATATTTATATAACTGCATCGTAAGGCTGTTTATAAGCAGCCTGGTTGTCTGATAAGGAAGAGAATGCATTAAAATATGGCTAGTGAACGAAAGAAAAGAAAAGCAAGAAGGGTTGTAACTCAGAGTATTCTTCATCAGTCTTGTCGAGATGCCTTTGAGTTGTTTGGAACTGATTTTGATTTGATAAGTATTTCCACCAACAGCAGAGTGGACAAAGAAAGCATAAGAGACTGAATAGGAGGGCTCTTGAAAAATCAGCAGAAGAAAGGAAAATTGCAGGAGCAGGTGGTCCTCATGTGTGTATACTTTTTCATTAAATAAGATTTGTCTCTGTGTTTTGAGAACAGATTTGCTGACGATGTTGGCACACTCTTAGCTCTGCACATTTAGGTCTAAGCCAAGACATACGATTGTCGATATCTTATGATGAATCAGTTCCTCACATCCCCTTGTGGGGAATGGGGTGGGGGGAACTGATTTCCTATTTCTGCCATAAAGATGAAGAATATTGTGAGTTTATTTCATTGCAACCATCAGGAGAAGCTAAACAAATCTGTATTTTACATTGCAGATCAGCATAATTTAATCTAAAAAGGTGTCATAAATTCTTACTTAGACTGTTGGTAGAAGTCTTTAACCATCTTCTTGTCATCTTTTTTCCCGGAAGTGGTCAGTGTACATTCGGGCCGCTGTCCGTAAGGAGAAAGGCCTTCCCATTCTGGTGGAGCTACTGAGGATAGACAATGACAAAGTAGTTTGTGCTGTCGCCACAGCTCTCCGAAATATGGCCCTGGACATCAGGAATAAGGAGCTTATAGGTGAGTTATGATAACTGGATTACTCCAACAAGGATTATTCCATTACCTGTCATTGTTACATAAATTACTGACATTTCTATTCTCTTTTTAGTAAGGGATTAATTAGAATTTAAATTAGAATTTGGTGGCTGATCTCTGCTTTTTGTAAAGCTTTGACTCACTGATACCAGTTTCATGAGATTCCTGATTTAAGCATTAAGAAGATTTAAGATTAAAACTCAAAATATTTTTCTAGCTTCTCTGTCGTGCAGTTACTGCATTTGGAGCAGAGGTGACATCACACCACCATGTGAGAGAGTAAAACAGAGTTGATGAAGGTTTTTTTTAACACAAAGGCTGATATTTTGGCTGGGTTTAGCATTTTGTGGTTACACAACTATTGTAAAAACATATGTCTCTTTGCATGTATTCTACATAGAGAATGCAGAGTCCTATTTCAAACATGAGATTCCCAGCAAGCAGCCAATGTTTCTGGAGTGTCCTAACATAGAGCGGGTCTGAACAATTTTCCCTTAAAGTAGCTTCTGTTTCTGCACTTTCTGTGACTTCATTTTTAAACAACTTGCTGAAAAAAAGTTACATTTGAGTCTTCTTTCCTCAGTAACACCATCCACACCAAAGTGTGTGGCCAGTAGGAACCTAATGCTCTTTAGGGTGTGTTCATTGATCGGAAAAAAGGTTGGATTTTTGGCTAATTAGCGTTACCAGATGATTTTTAGATATGTTTCTACTTTTAGGTAAAAAAGATATTTGCACATTTGTTTGTGTGTGTATGTTTGAAAAACGCATGTATGAAACTGCAGTTGCCTCTTTGCTGACTGAATGTGGTCAGAGGTTAGAGGATGTCATTAAGATTAATATCAAATTTGTATGGCCTACGGATATGTTTTGGTTTTACCATTATTTTTGTGATCTTGTAAAGTTATCATTTTCACATTTTTCCATCCAGCATAATGATTTTTATCTTGCCATCAGTTTAACTGAGACTATTACATGTTGGTCTCTGAGAGACTGAGATTAATAAAGATTGCACTGTGCCAGCTGTGGGTTCAGAAAATAAAATGAATAATGTGTAATTGAGAAGGAAACGCTGAAGAGAGTGGGCGAGAGTGGTAGCAGATCAAAGGCTTACATTAGTCTTTGAAAAGTACACTGGGTAATGAGTGAGCCCCAGTCAGTCTGGTAGAATCAACACATCTCGAGATCATTAGCTAACCTGACTCATATACACTGAGTGTGTGTGCATTTCTTTTGGGTCTTCAAGTGTTTTCATGTATTAGACGCATCCTTTTTTCTTTGTGGCTGTCCTCTTTTTGCTGCTCCCGGGCTGGTGCAGCAATAACAGGTCAATCATGTCGACCGAAAACCAAAAACATCTTTATCTCTCTAAACAGACACCTTACACACACATGAACGATTTTATGTATGTGCGTGTGCATGGACTCTTTTTTTTTCTCTATCTCTAATATCTCTGACAATCTTAGCTTGTTGGTGGGCTCAATGGTTTCTATAGCAACTCTGGCACCCACTGTTTCACGCTGGAGGCTTTTGAAACATATCTTGGTTTTGCAGCAAGTTGTTGTTGTTCCTTGTTGCGGAACAACAAGGAATACCGCCGCCAAGGCTCAACACGCCCCCCTACTACGCTCTGGCTGACGCACAGCAGCAGATTAAAGGATAATTAGAGCTCTCGCGCAGGCGCTTTACTGGCTGTGAGTGATCTCCCTTTTGTGGTTTTCTTTGTTTGTTTGTTTTCTCCAATCTATCTGTAGACAAATTAGCACAGCAGATTAAACTAAACAAACAATAATTATATATATATATAAAAATGTGAAAACTTACCAGCTGAACAAAATGTGGATATAAAAAGTAGAATGCTTCGGAGCAACAAAAGTTGAATAGTTTGACCCTGCAAAAAAGTGACCAAGTATAGATACAGACATTCTTGCAACCTGTTTTATTCTGCATGCAAAGGAACAAACATACAGTAGTGGAGGACTGCTAAGACTTTCACTCAATTGATTGTCACCTGAATGCTCAAGTAGCTATAGGTTTCCCTGTCTACTTATGGCTTGTCTCACTTGGCATTTGTACAATATTTGTAATTTTATAAATATCCAGGTGTTATTTTGGGAGTAATAATCTACAGCCCTGAGCAAACTTCCAAAAGATTTAATACAATAAGTGAAAAATCATGTGAGGTTATTTAAGCCCGTCTGTTTTTCTTGCAGGATGGACTTTTTGATCACGGTGTTGTGAAAAAGAAAACTTGGAGTCAGTTCTGAAAGTTCATCTCCTCTTGTTTGTTATGTTGTCTGCCTCCATTACTGCTCAACTTGCCTAACAACAACGGCCTTTGCACTCTTCCGGATGTGGAACAAATCTCTTTATATGTATGGTTAGCTAACCAGGAAGTTACCCTATCTTTAAACTTCTATCAGGTTAAAGTGTTCAAATTCAGAGTTCTCCTTCACAACTAGGTACTGTTAAAAATGCTCAGTATTTTTGGTTTTAAAGCTAATCTTAATAATTAGGATTAGCTGTTTTCATTTGTCTTGCCAGGGCAAAATAAATGAAGATAAATTAGTTTCATTATTGTTGGGTTTTTTTTAAATCAGCCTTTTTTATTAGTGAACTTTTCACTAATTAAGGCAGAGTGTTTTGACTAAGCATACTAAAATGTCCTTTGTTTATAAATATTGCATGTAAAAAATTTGAATTCTCATTCTTAACAGCCATTAGCTTTCCTGAGCAAAAGCAGAATGAGGTAAACATTTTAATGGACTGACATTCAGACAAAGTGAGAGCAGGAGTCAGTTAAATCAATATTGTACAAATTCATGAAGAAATCATTCTCCTTTTTTAGTATTTTTGATTAAACTGCAAAATGTGCCATTTTGCATTTGTTTCTGATTTGAGTTTGTTTCTCCATCTTAAAAAGTCATTAGAGCTGGACAGAAAAATACTCCAGAAAATGTCCAGATCATCTTATAATTATGGATATAGATTAAATAAGTACCATGTTGGAAGCACAGTAATGTGGGAAAGTGATCTTAAACATTTCTAATTTCTGCCACTTTACAGCAACAATGTTTAATATGTTTTATTGTGATTTTATATTTAAGAGCAAAACAAAGTAAAATGCTTGTGATGTTTAAGGTGAATGATGTGCTTCTGAAAAGGTTCTACAAACGTAAAAACTTAAATTATAGTTTTTATGTTTGCATTGAACCACACCTATGAGAAGCAACGATGAATCTGAGATGTGCATGGTAACTAAGGATGAGTTCCTATGATTAAACCCAATCAATCAGCCTCTCTGCAAAATTGACCTTTATGGAAGAGTGGCCAACAAAAAAGAAAAGTTGTTGAAAAGAGACCACAAAAACATGATTTAATTCTTCTTGCAAGGACACACACCCATTATGTGGAAATGGATGATCATAAAATCCTCATAATTAACAGAAATTAGGGTTAATTGATCTATGTAATGTTTTGCTTCGTTAAGTTACTGAAATAAATTAACGTTCCAGTAATATCCTAAATCACAAGTGTCAAACTCCAGTCCTCAAGGGCCAGTGTCCTGCAGTTTTTAGATGTGCCACACTACAAAACACAGGAATGAAATGGCTTAATTACCTCCTCCTTGTGTAGGTAAGTTCTCCAGAGCCTTGCTAAAGACCTAATCATTCTTTTCAGGTGTTTAGATGCGACACATCTAAACGTTGCAGGACACTGGCCCTTGAGGACTGGAGTTTGACACCCCTGTACCTGATTTAATACATATGACTATGACTTAGAATACAGAGGTAAATTTATCTGAAATTTTGCTATGACTTAAAAATAGATGCTCTTAAATCTTAGCGGTTCAATCTGACTGTGATTAGGTTATTTTGCAAGTCTCAGGATGTAAAAAACTGGTGCAGACAAAATACTTGGAACTGTAATTGCACAAAAAAGCGGAATTGCAAGGTATTTAGTAAGAAGGACTGAATGTAGCACACTGCACTTCCCTGTGTAAAAAAAAAAAAAATCTGAAACCTTGTCTTATTTTTCTTCCGTTTCAGAGACATGATTTATTTTATGATCATCTGCCACATAAAAGTCCCAATGACACACCAAAATCTGTGGTTGTGGTCCAGTGTTTGTGGTTTATTTGTGCTGTAGTTTGGCATAATATAGTGGAAAATCCACTACTGACTATGTTTCCTTACATTCTGTTGTGAGGCACGATGTCAGAAGTTCTGATTTGTTTTCTTCTTTACATACTCTTTCCTCTACATATCTTATCTAACCTCTTACGTAACCTCGTATGGAATCCTCTGAGGCCCAAATATACCTTCAGCAGAAAAGGATCAAAAGACATGATCCCTCTGTCAGGCTCAAGAAAGAGGAACTGCAGGTGAATCCTGGCATAATTATTTCTGACCTTGTTGGCACAAGCAGAATGAAGAAAGGGACGATAGTAAGAGAAGAGTCACTACATCAGCACATCTTCATGAAGAGTACAAGTAGCTATCGAGAGCTCCACAATGTCGGCTTGACTTTTAAGACGTCGAGCTAATATTGTGCAGTCTTTTGAATGGAAGAAATAAGTTTATTAATTTTCAGTAAGTAAAAATAGCCTACTACTAAAAACAAATTGCCACCAATGGGATAGAAAACTGCTGTTAGTGTCTTTCTTTACTGAGTGATACATGAACAAACAAAGTTTCTAAAGTGTGGAGATAACAACAAAATAAAGGACAAGAAAAGAGAGGTCGACCAATATGGTTTGTTTTTTGCAAACTCTCAGCCGATTAAGATGGATAAGAAAGAAGCTGGGACCAAGCTTTTAGGAAAGGCAAGTCCAAATATTCTCCATCCTCCGATGTTTTGTCGGTGCGATTTCACAGATTTAGTTGATTTGTTTTTGTAAGGTCAAAGTTGCATCTAATTACAATACAATCCCACATGACAAATCTCCTCAAACATAACCTCGTTCTGAAAAACAGAAACTG